AAACTTGGGCTGAGCCTGTGGCGCACTCGGGAGAGTGCGGCGCTGGGAGCGCAGCAGCGCCCCGCCGTGGGTTCGGATCCTATATAGGGATGACAGGTTCGCTCACAGCACTCACTGGCTGAGCAAGGTGCGGCCGGTCTCAAAAAGGACAAAACAAACAAACAAAAACCAAAAAACTTGTGGGATGCAATTAAAGTAGTACTTAGTGGGAAATATCTATATTTTTAAAAAGGATATTACAATTTAATAAGCTATACAGCCAAAGTATAAAATAAATTTTAAAAAAAGAACAGAATAAACCCAAAGAAAATAGAAATATTTTGGAAGGATGATAATGCCAAGTCAAATTTTAAAAACGCTATTGCTGCCAAATTAGATGAGGGTGAGTGACTGTAAAAGCATGGGGAACAGAATAAGAGAAACCTTCCACTGGATTCAGACTTTTTCCCAAATGTCTGTAAGTCCCTGCTCACTTTGCTCACATTGTCTGTTCCTCCCGACTGAATCAACAGCACGTGGCGGGCGGGGAGGACCCTGGTCTAATGCTTAGCTTGCAAAACTAGATTCAAGCATTGCCACTTCAGTGAAACCCCCAAAGCCCCCAGCTTCCCCTCCCCGTGAAATGACTATATCCTACTTTGTGCTCTATGCCATAGATGCTCCTAGTCAAGCACTTTATCATCTCTAGTTTTACATACTTACTTATCTCTACTGACCTGTAACCCTCATGAGATCAATAGACACTGGTTGGATGAATTTGAATAATTAAATGACAATCTAAAAAAAAAAATTGGATAGATAGAAAAGTGGTGATACGGACAGGTATCCAAGACAGACACACTCTATCAAGCAAAACGAATAAGTTGCACATGTGTGTGCAACGTGTGTCTGGAATAGTACACAAACCATCAGTGGATACCTCCAGGGACAGGAAAAGGGGTCGGAAAGAGGAAGGAGGACTTGACTTTCCCTTTACCTCCACCGGTAGGCTGTTACATTTTTAACACAGCTTGCGTAATGTTTATATGTTTAAATGCTTCAACTAGGTTTTTTTTAAAAAAAGAATCAGTCTGTCAATGAGCATTTCTTTCTCGGAAAAAAACCTAAATGTTAATCTTAAACCCAAGTGTAACTTAGGTTCTCTAGTATACACAGACTTAAAGCCATTTTCAAATGCTTCTACAACAACTAAGTACTGAGAAGCACAGTAACAGAATCAGCGTACATTCAGACTAGAAGTTCTACCAGTCTTTTTATTGAAATATCATGATATCATTTACAGCACTCCCAGGAAATGAATAACAACCATTTCTATGTTACAAATTCCTCCATTCTATATGAAATGGCCACTCTTAGGGAGGCATTTCAATAGACTATTGATTGGCTTTAAAATCTGACAGATCTTACATGGAATCCAGGCTTTATCACTACTTGGGTGATCAAATTCTTCAACCTGTCTAGGCCTCAGTTTCCTCTTTAGAAAAATGGGAGTGATGCTGCCTCGCTGTCAAAACCACGCATCAGTATTTCCCAAGTACCTCTGCTGGAATACAACACTGCTTTATGTGGCTACATGGACAAACATGTTTCACTTGAATGACAATCATTTATGACCTCAAGCCTGAGATGTTATTGCTTAGGATCAGGCAAAAGTAGGTGGCAGTGGGCCGGCCCGGTGGCACACTGCTACAGTGCGCCGCTTGGGAGCGTGGCGGCGCTCCCGCCGAGGGTTCGGATCCCACATACAGACCGGTTCCTGCCCACTGGCTTAGCGGGGGGCGGGCGGCGGCCCGGCGGGTGCGGTTC